AAGAGAACCTGAACCAAGTGAATACGTAGGTCACCTCCCACCCAATCACCAACCCAGGTATCTCGAAGAGAATATACAAGTCACCAAAGCAACCTATGACCCACCTGGTAACCTAGACCCCACCAAAACTATCAATGAAAACTGAACATCTATCTTAAGTGTGCACATCCTCTAAAAGTGATTCCAAACCCTCCAGTAGTAAGAAGCTCACGTAGTCGGGATAAGTTTCTACCAACTACTCAAGGTAAGACGAATCTATAAAAGTGGAATATGGGCTACTACTACAAGCAGAAGCGAATGATGGTTACATCAAAGGTATCCAAAACCTAACCAAGAGAAACCCAAGAGATGCCCTAGACCGGTACATTCAAAAAATATTGATCATACTTTTCCAAAAAGATGTGATTACACAACACTCCTCAAAAGAGAGTTTAACCCAATCTACAACTTCCAAAAACAATATTTAATATCAGTACCAAAAGGGAAAATAATTTAAATATCTCAAACTTTAATAGGGTGTGATATAAGTAACTCAAACTTGCATATGTAATATATATACCCCTAATTTTATAAAAAAGTTATTTTCGCACCATGACTGTATATGCTTTTATACAAATAGAAATTTATTGGAATAATTAAATAATTTAAAATATTTAAATTTTTGTTAGAATGCAGTTAACATTCTAAAATTTCATTTGTGATCATGGTGCTAACATAACTTTTTATATACAGTTTGATATATATATATATATATATGTATGTATTAAATTTGCAAGTTTGGGGTAATTATCTAACACGCCTTCTGAGTTTGGGATATTTAAAATTATTTTCCCTTTAACAAAATAACCCAATCGGGGTATTTCAAAACCTAGAATAGATTTGTATATAAACGCATGCATGAGCAGAAGCTCTGAACTTTCTTCTTTCATTAGCGCTTGTACTTCTTCGATTATCTTAATAAAGTAGCATTTGACTTAAAAAAGGGATATATGCTATGATTTGGATATTGTTGTGAAATTAAATGGATATTTCGACCTTTCGATAATTATGATTTTGAAATACCAATTTCTGGGATTTGAAAATGATATGAATTTTTGGAAAAATAAATTTTGTAAGAACCGATGCCAACCAAAATTACTATGTTGTCACTATTATGTATTAATTAGGGTTTGAGCTGTGATTTGAGTTTATTTCTGAAACTGTATGAGAATTTCGGATATGTTATGACGGATATTATGATCTATTGTTTTATGGGAATTTATGAATGTATAAATTTGTGTGAGTTTATCAAATTGTGCCCATAAGGCCAAAATTGTAACTTTTGTGGAACTGTGGATATTAGTTGGAAAATTATGATCAATGATTCCTGAATTCTTGAGCACCCGGAAGTAATTTGTGGTGTAAGTCTACATCCTGTTAAATGTAGGAACATGGCGCGCGATTTAGGCCAGAAACACTACTATCTGGTGGTTGCTTTTCTTTTGATTTAGTTTTGGATATCTTGGATGTAATCATCCTTTGCCTCGGCTTGTGGTAGTAGTAGCCCATATTTCACTTTATAGGATTTTTCCTATCTGGAGTAGTTGGTAGAAACATATCCCGACTACTTGGGCACAATTAAGGTAGACGTTTTAGTTTTGATCGGTGGTTTTGGCGGGATCCGGGTTACCGCGTGGGTCATAGGTTGCTTAGGTGACTTGTGTATTCTGCCTGGGATACGTGGGGTGGTGAGTGGGTGGTACGTGACCTACGTATTCACTTGGTGCAGGTTGTCTTCTTGCCCCATCTTTAAAAGAATTTAGGAAAGATCTGTTAAAGTGAATTTTTGGTGATTGTGTATCAAATATGGTTTTGAAAAGAAATATGTTTTATTTGGATTGGTGTGGAAATATCTTTCTTACTAAAGACTATTTTTATCTATAAAAACTTTGCTTTAACTAAAGGATTTTCGGATCTATTTACATATGTATCATCACAACTATTTGGGGTTGAATGACTCTTACTTTTGTTTTGGGGTTGAATGAGTCTTACTTAGCTATAAAGAGAGGTGTGTTACACAACTTGGAATAGTTATTAGTTACATTTACTTAAATCTGAATTTTTTCAGAACTTGTGATGTTTACTTAAATTCAACTATGAAGAATTATTACTTATGCTTTGTTTTGAAATTGTGGTTTAACTTGTGCATTCGATTATGTGAGAATCGAATGTGGAGGAAACACCCAAAAAAATTTTTATTTTGTTGTAATCTTATTTACTTTGAATGTAACCATTGTGGAAAGGGTTTTTTACGAGAATATTACTAAAATAAAACTTACTTACATAAATATGACTATTCATTACTACAACGTAGTACTGTGGTAACTAAAGTTCAAAACTTGAAAATGAATTACTATGATTTCATTACTACTCTAATAATGAATCATATTTTTGTAAAACATCTTTATTTTGGTCATATTTATGTAATTATTTCTTGTGGAGATCATTTTACTAAACATGCTACTTATAACATCTGTTTTGGGATATAAATTTGGGGGGTGTTACACACACCACAACAATATTTTCACTTTGGGTATGTCTTGTTTTTAATCTTACGGTACACCTTGCTGGCCTTCTCCCAATTGGAACTTCTTCACCAATCTTCCGTCTGCAATAAATGTGGCTTCTTCACGAAACCTTCAATCTTTAATTTAGATAGAACAAGCCTCCCTCAACTCAATAAAAATTCAAATTTCACCTATTGCAACTGTCCGACATACACTGCGTCACGTGATAATGTGTCAACTATGCGCCTGATGTGGCAACTTAAGGGGTTTACTAAGCCGATGTACCCGATTGAATTGCTCAATTCACCATCTCAACCGTTAAAAAATGTCAAATTTATGAAAAAATAAAAATAAAAAATAAAAATAAAGAATACAAATATAAAATAAAATACAAATCGAAAACAAAAATATAAATATCAAATATTTAGATTTTGGGGTATATTCAAAGTTAAAAAATTAAACTAAAAGAAATTCTTTAACTTCATTTCCAAATCTTAAAATTATATTGTATATAAAATTAGCTTATATAGTACTTCGTATAACGTATACATAATTAGTACGCAGTATACATAATACGTAAAAAGTACTATAATATATAATAAATATTATAAATATATAATTACTATTTTTATATAGTACGGAATATAAACTTTTTGTGGTGTATATATTTAGTACAAAGTCGAGAATTAAAACTTCTATATATCATTTTTTACTTTTTTTTTGCTCAAAGAGGGTTTAATTCATAGAAATAGCATTCAACAGGGGTACAGAAACATAAAAGAACCACATGTAACTAGGCCTGTCAATGGGTCGGGTCCGGGTCAGAACGTAGTGTTCCAGACCCGGACCCGCTAAGTTAATGATGGACCCAGACCCGACCCGTTTACCCCGGCGGGTCTGAAAATTTGGACCCAAACTCGGACCCAACGGGTCTCGGAATTGGGTCAGGTAGACCCGCCAAGTAGCTTTCCCTTATAAATTTTGTGAAAATAACAAGACTTGTATGCGAAATGTAAAGAAAAGTGCGCAAACTAAAAAGAAAAATATATCTCCACTTTTTTAAAAAAATCAAGGTTTCTCATGTTAATACTTTTATCCAATAAAGTATTGGTTCTTGCGTATAACTCCACACTTTGTGTCGCTTTTTCTCGTTCATAGAGCTTGTAGAATAAACTTCAAATTAAGTCACAAAAGGTGTCTTGGACTATTGAGATTTGGGAGTAGAGCCATCAAAATGGGTCGAAACCCGTGACTTGCCCGTTTAAACCCATTTATTGGTGGGTTAGGGTTGAAAATTTCTGACCCATTTAGTTCGTGGGTTTAAGTGGGTTGACCCACCGGGTTGCGGGTTGGCCAGCGGGTCAAAATATAAAAAATTAGTTTTGAATTTTATTATCTTAAATATTGTTCTTTTACTACCAATATTATTATAATTACAATAAAAAAATTAAAACCACGGCAAAACAATATTTATTTCTATAATAAATATTCGAATAAAATTTTGAAACGTATATTTTATGTGAAGTTCAATACAATATTTAACAATTAGTAGTCATTAATTACAAATAATTAAGCAAAAGGTTTATGTAGATCTTTATTTTTATACAATGAGTATTTTTGTCGCATACCCTTTTATAGTTTTCAAATTTACATATATATGTGTTTTTATATATTAGTTTGTATTTTTTTATATTTGAAGTGTTATAACGAATCACTTTATGTATTAGTCTGTTTGTATACAAATAAGAAATTTTGAACGGGTCCGGGTCCTTAACAGGTCGGAATCATATGTACCATACCCGACCCGTTTATTGAATATACTAAAGGGTCCGGATCCAGGTAAACGGAATAAAATATAGACTCATACCCGTTAAAAATAACCGGGTCTGGGTCGGGTTCGGGTCTAGACCCGACCCATTGACAGACCTACATGTAACCATCCGTCTGTGGCCGAGACTGAGAGTTAACCGCATGTACAAAAGTAGGGGTGGACCGGTTCCGGTTCGGCCTGGGCCCGGTTCGGGCCTGGGCCCGGCCGGGCCTCGGTTCAGAAAAATGAGGCCCGAGCCCGAACCGGTGGTGGGCGGTTCCGGGCCAGACCGGGCCGGGCCGGGCCACCCGGTTTTTTAATTTTTTTTTTCTTCTTCTCTTATTTAACCCCCTACCCCTCCCTCTCCACCCCAAACCACCCCAAACCACCTCAAATGGCCCAAAATACCTAATCCAACCCAAAACTTAAAAAAATTTCCAAAAAAAAAAAAATTAAATTCCGGCCCGAACTGGGCCCGGCCCGGCCGGTTCACTAAACTGGAGGCCCGGACAGCTATACCACCGGGCCGGGAGGCCCGAACCAGGCACGAACCGGTTCACCGGGCCGGTCCGGGCCCGCACAGTAGCGGGCTGGTCCGGTTGGCCCGGCCCGAGTCCATCCCTATACAAAAGGGAGTATAACTCGCTAGACCAATTGAGTTGAGCATTTCAGACAGATCCAATGATTCAGTTACAAGAATTGTAATCTTTATCGAGTCTGTTAATTTACAACGAAAACTTGATCAAAATGAAAGCGGCATCCTTTACAATGGCAAACTGCAGTACTGCACCCTGACTTTTGGCCATCGGTTACAAAATCTTCAACAAAGTCAGATTCAAAGGCAAGTTGCAGTACACCCTTCGGGGTGGAATGGCTTAGGAATTTCAATTTTATTTTCCATACGTAGTAATATGAAGGCTGCAGCAAAGTCACTCTAGTGTTACATAGGAACAGAACAGAAAAGAGATTCTAAAACAACAGACTGGCCCAGGCCGCAATAAATGCAAAACCACCCAATGGTGCTACCTTAGAATACTTTCTGTCTTCAAGATATGCAACTGTGTAACATCTGCAACAGCAAATACACACATATATACATAATTATTAATTATTATAACAAATATAAGATACAAATGTATATTCACTGTTATGGGCACAAGCATGCACACTAAGCAAGTCGATTTAAAGGATTGTATGCATCAGTACTGAGAAGTTTCATGCATCATCATTTTCATTTATCCCAGTGCCGCAAAGGCTCCCACCTACGGTGACTGAGAAGTTTCATGCAAACATGACAAATGATAGGATGCGGAAAATAAACATTTCATATTATTCAAACAATCCCTATTATTGACCAAATCCACATGGACTTAGTTTTGGTTATATATGTTAAGTCATTCTGCAACAGCCATATATAAAATACATACATACAAGATATTAGATTATTCCTCTTGTATTAATAGTCTCTTAGGATGGAACTTTTTTATGACTTAATATGATATATATCAGAGTCAATTAAACTTAAACGAGTGATCGATCTAACTGAGACTCGATTTGCCCAAAGAAAAATGAGCACACGAGCCACCAGCCACACCAGCCACAAATTTAGATACAAACAAACATAAAATACATTATCCTGTTATTACACTGATCATTTAGGATGGAACCCCAACACTTAATAAGATAAACACACTAATATTTAGGCTGATCTCTCCATAATTTCCTGTTGTGGGTTCTCTTGTTAAGACCCCAACAATAAACAAATAAGTAGTAAAGCGAAAAGAACAAGCTGGGTTCCAAAGAAGAAAAATACTATGAATTTGGTTTTTTCATCATTAGACACTTAAAATGGTTACAGGGAAAATGATCTTAATGGCACATCTTCATCTAAATTTAGTTTGCTATAGAATGGGAAGAGAAACGGTGAAAACAAGAAAGATGTCAAGACTCAAAGTGAAAACTACTATAGTATTCCCGCCTACACACATGGATGAAAAAAAGCATTACTAAGATGATTGAGTCGGGGTTCAAACAGTAGGAAAGTAGGAAATGTGTGATATGCAGAATTATATGAAAGATGTGTGGTTTAGGTCGCTCAAGGATATAGATGTGCTGATGGATGCAGAAAACTAAGTCAGCATGGGCAAAAATTAATCACACTGATCATTACCTGTTCATATTTCATAAACCCTGAAAGTATAAATATTTTTTAATAGAAGGTTGCAAAAGTTAAATGCTGCTTTTTCGAACCTCAAGGCAATAAAGCTCAAAACGTGGTAAGAGACATTTCTGTTGTAAACTCAGATTGAAGTCGAAATTAAACCCAAATATTAACTAGATTCATTGGTACACAAGACTAGAAGTTCATATCAAATTTATAACAACTGTAAAACATTAAATGGTTTTTCCTTGTCATAAAAAAGAGAGTGACATGTTTTTAGGGGGTGTTTGGAACTGATTCTGCTTCTGCTTCTTTTTTAATAGCAGAAGCAGAATCAGAATCAGTTTTCAGAATCTGGTACCTCCCAGCTTCTAAAAAACTGATTCTGGGAGTAAATTAGAGCTTCAGAAGTGCTTCTGGAATTTCACCCAAACAGTCCAGCTTCTGATTCTGCTCCCTCAGGGAGCAGAATCAGTTTTGAGAATCAGATCCAAACACCCCCTTAATGTTGGTTTTAGGATTTCAACATGAGTTGTTTCATTAATGAAGGTGGTACCAAATAACCAAAACATATATTTCAATAGCAGAAGTATTTTAGATTTAAGAACTTCAAAAGAAAAAAGCTCATCAAAGAGATTTTCAGGAGTGCAACATTAATTGTATCAGGTTGTCGGGTGAGGTAGGGTGGCAAGCTTCTGCCCTCCCAATCGTTGCATACATGTATGTGTGAAGGAGTATTAATTCACTCCGGATTTCATAGCGCCCTTAGCTGAATCGTTCAATCATTATAATTAGGAAATTATTCCTTCCTAACTTAGTCCCAAATTACTTGTTGTTTTGGAAAAATTTGCACATATTGAGATTTGAGAAACATTGTGTGAAGAACATTTTACCTTTGGAAGACTTTAACATTAAATGCACCTTATTTTTCCTGTTCAAAAAATTATTTGATGAAAGATGAGTTAATATGGGAAAATTTGAGATATTAGCATTTAGCAGAAGATATGAATTGATTTGCTAAAACAAAAACAGCTTCTGATTCTGCTCCCTCAGGGAGCAGAATCAGTTTTGAGAATCAGATCCAAACACCCCCTTAATGTTGGTTTTAGGATTTCAACATGAGTTGTTTCATTAATGAAGGTGGTACCAAATAACCAAAACATATATTTCAATAGCAGAAGTATTTTAGATTTAAGAACTTCAAAAGAAAAAAGCTCATCAAAGAGATTTTCAGGAGTGCATCATTAATTGGATCTGGTTGTCGGGTGAGGTAGGGTGGCAAGCTTCTGCCCTCCCAATCGTTGCATACATGTATGTGTGAAGGAGTATTAATTCACTCCGGATTTCATAGCGCCCTTAGCTGAATCGTTCAATCATTATAATTAGGAAATTATTCCTTCCTAACTTAGTCCCAAATTACTTGTTGTTTTGGAAAAATTTGCACATATTGAGATTTGAGAAACATTGTGTGAAGAACATTTTACCCTTGGAAGACTTTAACATTAAATGCACCTTATTTTTCCTGTTCAAAAAATTATTTGATGAAAGATGAGTTAATATGGGAAAATTTGAGATATTAGCATTTAGCAGAAGATATGAATTGATTTGCCAAAACAAAAACTATTCTGGGGCAACTTTTTTGGCTAAAACCGCATCTAATTTATGACGGAGGGAATATTGGAAAATTAGGCATGAGTTTGATTAGATTAACCAAAAAACACTACTAGGCTCGGCTAACAAAAGAAAGCAGAAGGCCAATTGCAGGAAGCTTCTGTTAGCAATTTAGCATAAGAGCACAACTGGCAAAAATATGTTCAGCTTGTACCTACATATACTAGTGTAAAATATATTCGAGCTTTTCCCAAAACACCCCTATGAACACTATTTCACAACCACAAAGATGACATCTAGAGTAAGGGAGCAAGGATATAGCAAACACTTACGTCCCAGAAAATGCAACAATTCCGGCTGTCAAAAGCCCTCCAAACTACAATACCAACCAAAAAAAGAGCATGAAAAATATAGAAGTTTACATGTATATATCCACCGGGAAGTCAGACGTATGACAACACTCCAAAAAAGAGGGGCGAGGGGCAAAATGGGGAAAGTGAACTCACAATGTGGGGTCGTTTGGTAATAGGAGAAGCAACAAGAGCTGCTGTGTGAACCAAGTGGTATAGTGATGCAGTGTGCCAAACCTTCCCATCCAGATAACATATCACCATCATCATATGCAAATAACAATAACAATAATCAGTAAATAATAATTAAATAAATAATTGTTTCCCGGTACCACTCAAACAACACAGTACAGACTTTACATATGTGTATCAGAAAAAAAACAGTGAAAATGAGATAAAGATTCAATTTTTTTTGTAAGGAGATAAAGATTCAAATTTGAGACTATTAAAAAGTAAATACCTCTTTGTATGTAGGGTTCTTGGGCTTGAATCCGTGGGCACCATAAGTGCCCAATCCAAGAGCAGCTACACCTGTTATTTATTGATCATGTTTAAGGGTCTTCATTTTCACGCCCAAAGAAGAAGAAAAGAGAGAGCATTCAAACAATTTCATACTCATAAGGAAGTAATACAGTTCAAGGCTTCAGTGCGAAATTACCAGATATTGCAGCAATTATAAAATGATAGACAAAAGTGAAGGGTTTACCGGATACTGCAGCAATTTTGTGCCACATATAAGGATCCATAATTCCCTTCTTTTTCTTCGATTCTGGTCTCTGTTCTGTTGCTGAATTTTTTGCTCCCCATTTTGTAAACCCCACCTACGACGTCGTATGCTAGTGCATTTTGACATCACATACTAAGGGAGTGTTTGCAACTGCTTCTGCTTAAAAAAACACTTTTGGAGAAGTAATGAAAAAGTGATTGGTAGTAAAAGTTGATAGTGTTTGAGAAAAAAGTGATTTTGAAAAGTAAAAGTTGGTAGTGTTTGGTAAAATAAGTGATTTTTGTGTAATAGAAAAGGGAAAAGCACTTTTCACACGCAAGCCGAGAAAAAGTAAAAATTGGTAGTGTTTGGTAAATAAGTGTTTTTTAAAGCCAAAAGCTGAGAAGTGCTTTTTTTTAAGCAGTTGCAAACACTCCCTAAGAAAATGACACATACATATTTTGGGTCACAAACAAATTAGTGATTAATCTAGTATGTACGTGAAGAAATTCAGACACCAAAACAAGGTATTTACGGTTTTGCATGTTTTTCACTTGCACAGAAAAATTATTTACGAAAAAAAAAATCATAGCTTTGTAATATAAAGTTTATATTTGACTTCCTGTTTTATGATTATTTTTTAGACCTCGCACCAAGTGGAGTACAAAATCAAACATTAAGATGAACTATAGTTGCAAAGTGTGATGTATATAACTAACTTTACTTTGGGGTAGTGTGCTTGTAAAATTAAATAAAATATGAGTGACAAAATTACCAAACTTTCCGAAATTAGCACTTATTTTGATTTGGAAATTTGGAATATCTCGGGTAGAACTAAAAAATAATGTATGAAAAGGCGCAAATTAAACAGTGAGATAGTTACACTGTGTGCATGATGTACCGATCACACACAATGTAGTTTTTTTTAAATACAACACAATGTAGCTTTATATTAACAAAAACGCAAACACTACTCCTCGACGATTCGTTCAACTCTTTCCTCAATTCCTCTAATTTTATTTCCTCATTCATCAAAATATTAAGACTCTAACCACAATTTCATTCTTTCTCATCATCAAAATAAATCTAGATTTTTTACATCTCCATCAATTCAAAAAAGAGATTTTATTACAACAACAAACAACAACATTAACTCAGTGCTACAAGGGCTCTCATCTACATTGAGGTAAGAGGGGTCAGATGTACGCAACTTTACTCATGTACTAAAGTACGAAGAGACTGTTTTCGGATGACTCATGATAAAATTTGTATCGAAATTTCTATTAATCTCTAATAAAAATTCATATTTATATGTGAAAGCTTGCAACTTTTCTTCAAACTCTATCATACTTCATCACTTTGTGTGATTTGAAAGTCTATCGGAGTATCGGTTTTATATGTTACATTTATTTATTACCAAGTGATACAGGATATTACATTTTCTATAGCGCGAGTTACATTTGCGATTGTGTAAGATTACTTTTCAAGTACACGAGTTACATTCTTATGCATGCGATTTGAACTACCTTTACTTTTCATTTAAATATGAAATATATATCTGATAATAGACTCTACTTTTTTTGGCAAAATATTAGACTACTTTTAAATTGTTTATAGTGAAGTGAAAGTTTTAAAACTTATATTAGACAATTCAAATTTCAAAGTTTTAATTGTTAAAGAGAGTTCTGTAAGCGTGAGTTACATTTCTTTATTATCCATACCAGACTAAAAGTTCAATAGTTTACATTTGCCGCTAAGCGATACTTCAGATTTCATTGTTATGATTCAGTAACTGAAATGTTAGTTCAAATATTAAAACAAGAACGTTTTTAATTAAAACTTAAATTCCAACATGATTTTAGATGTGGTAGTAAACTAGTACGTGTTCACCACAGGTCGCTCCTCTAATGTAGCAATAGACCATAAACACCATTTGACCGCAGCAAACTACTGTAAGCATATGAGTCAAGAAATTTTATAAAACATTTCAATTCTTGCGTTTAAGGAAATTAAGTTTGTCAAATATGAATTACTCTTTAATGTTTTTATTCAAACATACCAATAAGGGTGCCCAGTGCCCACAGGTCAGGTCAAAGTACTACTTTAACCTGAAAAAATGAACACATAAAATAAAATATATTTACCGAAGTTCAGACACAAGATTGAGATGCAGATAATCGGAGATGCAAAATCATATAGTTTGTAAATATCATGAACACTGTTCATATGCAATGCCAATAAGTAAAACAAACCATTCACCTATTCAGTGTTACGTGGAATTTTTGAAATCACCTCAGATCAAAAGCACAACAAAAAAAGTTCATCCTACCGTCCATGCCTGATAACTGCTACCATACATTTAAGTCAGTAAAAAACTAAAAAAAAAGAGGGATAAATTTAAATATAAATATATAACTATTACAAGGTTGCACAAACATGAAGAGTATGTAGAGCCGACTCAATCTTAGGGGCCTCACATGCTACACTGGTCACTTATGATCCTCACAGCTATGTGTGTTCAAACTTCAAATCTGTACAACTTTCATCTGAATGTCTGTTAGACTTATAATAATGTGATTAAATGATTCCGATCATCTCTCTCCTTTCCCTCAAAGGTTTGCTTTGCTTTCAGCCTATACCGTGGTGCACAGTGCTGAACTGATATGCTCTGTTTGGCAATGTTTTTCTCTATTATGCAGAGTTGAAATAACAGGGTTCATTTGTCCACAATGCTCTATTTGGGGACATAATTCCGTTTTATTCTCAAAGAGTTCTTCATCAGATGCATTTTGAAGAAGAAAATCAGGGATAGCAGCAGGATCAAGATCCCAGCAATCTCCCTGTGGAGCCTTTTTTGTTATGGTGGTGGTCCCACCTTCCCCGCCTTTCAGTAAAAAGGAGGGAACCATATGTGAAAAACGCAACATCTCTCTTTTCTGTATCCAAACAATAGCCTCCTTGTCACCATTTCTTTTGTAAACAGTCTTGAATCCATTAACTTTGACCATAGGAGCAACCCACACACCTAGTTCTTCAGAATAGTCTTCCAGCACCTCCACCATCTCATACTGGTGCCTGACTTCGTCTGGGGTTGACCTGTTCCAATCTGGTGACCAGTTACTATACACCGCCCAAATGTCCCCACGTTTAGGAAATATTCTAACACACCCTCCCCTGCGTGCCTTCTCCCTAGCGAGAAGGTGAGAGAAAACGTTGACCTGGTCAATGATTTCGGAGTTGGATGCCCTGAAATGTCCACATGATTTTGTAAAACCAGAGCACAGCCAATTCACTGTCCCAAATTCACTGTCAGATTTCGAGTTTAAGTGGCTGATGTGGATCTTGAATGGTTTTAGAGAGAGGACTTCGCGGACTAGACAATACAAACGTGGCATTCCGTCTTCGTCATCATATAAAGCCCATATTTGTTTAGGTCTGAAGCTTTCTTCTGCTCTGTCTTTGTCAAAATCATGGAAATCAGAGTCCGGAACTGTTATTGTTGTGGGCCCCAATTTCCTTATCCCTGATTGCTGTCTTTTGGGTCTGTTACTGAATTCCCCACCACTTTCACTGATGGATTTTTTCTTCTCATCTTCCAGTTTTATCTCTTCCAACTTCTTGCGAATTACTGTTCTAGCCTTGTCAATTAGTAACTGTCTCGAATCATACACAGGGGCAAGTGAGCGTTTGGAAACAGCCTCAAATACAGAAGTAATCTTAGAATTGGCAATTCCTGCTTCAGTGAGAATAGGAGAAGACATTTGAAAATTATTGTTTTTTCCTTCAAATTCAACTTTCCTCACCTTAGCAGGCCTACCACGCTTGGTGGTCCTATGTTTCAAGTGATCTTTCTCTCCAGTGCCACCAGAAGAGTTCCCGGAGACCCGCTGAAAGGATATATTGGAAGCATATTCTGACTCATGTCCCTGGCCATTCCGATGCCCATTCTCACGGCTTTGGACCCAGGTACAGTATGGATAAATGCCGTTCACTGGGCCCAAGCCCGTTTCGTAAGCAGTAAAAACACCACGACAGTTCTTACAAGTGAGTTTCTTGTTTTGGTACTTCCTAAGATACTCATATTGAACTTGACAGGTGGAACAGACGGTCCAAAAAGTATGTGGAGAGTACAAATTTCTCCTATGATCATAAGATCTTCTTTTAGCATTATCAGATAGTATAGCCCACGCCTCAGAAACAAGCTTAAATGCCCCATCAGCTCCAAGACTTCTGTTCTTGTCGGGGTGAAGCAGAAAAGCCATCTTCTTGTACTGTTTCTTAATACAAGACCTATTTGCAGAGGAGTCCAATCCCAAGATGCCATATAAATCAACCTCTCCATTAATTTTCACCTCTGCAGCACTGTAAACTCCAAAAGTTACCACCATTTGAGCTATGCCGTCTAAACTAGGGCACATCATCTGAGCTTTCAGAGCAAAACTTTTTGCACCCACAAAGTCTTTCTCAGCAAATCTCATTTCGGCATTTGCCTTGGCTCTTAGAGCTTCGCCTATGTGCGCATCCATCAAAGAAATCACACAGTTTAAGCAGATTTTCGCAAGTATGTATGGGAAGCTAATCAGCACCCCAAAAAGGAAGTCGTTTCAGCCCACTTCTCATGTTATATTTCTGCAATCCAACACCAACTTTATAAATTAAAAGATAAGCTCAAGTTTAATAAGTTAATTTAGATATTCGTGGAAACTAATTTTTTATAATTTATACATGTATACAAAGACTGAAATCTAATACAGATTGGAAATCATAGGCACCGATGTGGCTATGCAGATGCTAAGATGCAATTATAGACCAATAAGCTCATGAAAATGGAAAACTTACAGCGCATACTACCAAATGCATATGACATGTAGATTAACTTGTAAAGTTTATACCTATCCGAGCAACACTACTTAATATGGAGTACATCTAATTATATGCACCTGGTGCATGTTTTAGATATCCCCATCTAAATATAATACGAAGTATGTAACACTTTAAAATACTAATCACATTTCTTTTTACATTTTTTTGCATTTTCCATAGTAAAACTAAAAATAAGAAAATAATTGCCTTTAGCATTTGTTTTTCTTCCACTAGCATTTTTCAGAATCCAAACATTTAGAAAGGATTAAATAATTTTACAACCCCAAAAACTAAAAATTTGGGAACCAGAGAGGTGATCCTCAACCCTACTCTATGTTCCACAATGAAGTCTGATCCTAGCCTTTTAGTATTTTTATACTCATTTTGTACTATAAGTTCCAGGATTCATATAAATATTCATGGAAAACACATATAGTAATAAACCACCCCACAAAAGAATAGTTCAATAAACTATGAAGTTATAAACTTATAGTTACATAAAAATCATTCAAGATCAGTTCAAAGCACAACCACCCAATTTTGTGAGATATTCAAACTCAAGTCAAAGAAATTTCAACTCTGCTTGAAATTTAACTCAACATCAGTAAATATTAAAAGAATCAAATTACCAAGGGATATCCATAACAACTTAAACACCAAGATCCAAGCTAAAACCTCCATAATTAACATGAAAAATGAAAATCGGTGAATACAGCAAAAGGTGAAGCATCAGCCTGGCAAGTGAACTATAGAAATACTCACTGAGAGAAGAAGTAGAGTAGATTTACTCTAATCAAACCTGACCCGAACCGACAGGATCTCCGTCTGATCCTCAGCTTTGCCGCAGATATCCAGATCTAGATCGAGCCTACAAAGACATTTGAGTTAGGGCAAGTAAACCCGTCTGAGGAAATGCAAATTGTAAATTTCATAAATAAGAAAAATGTTTACCCTAAAAAGAAAAGTGCTTATCCAAATAACAATAATAATAATGATAATAACTATTATTATATATATTATTATTATTATTATTCTAAAAAAATAATAACCTTGCGAGGTTTGGAATTACAGTTCCGGCAGTTGAGGGCGGCAGAGATGCTAGGTATTCCGTCGGTAACCTCCGATTGGGTAAGTATTTCTTCGATTCAACTATTACTCCAACTTACACTAAAATTGCATTTTTTCTTATCAGAATGGTTGTAGTTAATTAAAATTTGATAAAAATAGAAATCATGCCATAAATGAAAATAAATGCTAATAGTAGGGTAAAATTTCGTGCGATTAACATTTTTACAAAATCTATTTTTTAATGGCTACAAGCTAACCACAATGTGGAGCCCATAGGAAATAATAGAGTTTTCTATATTCCTCAATTACTTTATTAATTTTGTACTTGATATAATAATTATATAACATGACATATAAATGATCATTGTAAAGAAAAGTGAAAAGGGGTTATGTCTCTAAAGTTATGAAAAGCGTGAAGATACCCATAATATTTTTATCAAAGAAAAAATGATCTAATTACCACTCAAAAACACTAAAAATACATTGATGAGTATATTGAATTAGAAAATTCAAAACTAAAAAGCATTTTGTGTTCAATGCTTCTTTTCATTTTTATATCAAAATTTAATATTATTAATATAAAAGAAATATTTAAAAAAGAATACTATACATTTTATGCATTTTAAACTCACATTTTGTGCCAACTTACGCATTTTTATTTATTTATGTATGTATTTAATTATAAATTATAAATACTACTAGTAATATTTTTATAGTATGGTAATCCTAATCTACTTTTGGAAAATGCATAGTGCGTAAAAATGAGTATGGCACAAAACATATTTTGCTCGTGAAATGAAAAATCTCAAATACTTCGTTCGTCTTATATTAAACTCGCATGTTAACTTGTCAGAAGAATTGAAAAGGTAAATATTATATGATCAAAAGTTATTCATATAAGAGAAAAATCATATAAATCACAAATTCTTTGTCATAGTAAAAAAGTGACAATAACTTTAAATATATGCCCTATCACTCATAATCTAATAATAATACATATTTTGAAGGTATATTCTTAAAAGAAAGGGAGAGTTTAGATTGGGATAAAGAGAAAATGCAAGAATGAAATTTATTGACAAAAGGAATGGACATAAAAGAACTAAAAACTTATGATATTTTACTGTTGTGCACATTTATATTGACAGACAAAAAATGAGGAGTCTATTGAACAGTAACAATGTGTACACAATCTATGAACAGTAAAATGGTGTACAAAAGGGTTCTTTGGAAAAAGATATTTGCTCAATCCTCACTTAGTATTTAAAAAATCAGCACTATTGAGATCTTCATATTTAAGAGTGGAAGAGCATGTATGACACGAAGATGAGGAGTCTTGTGAGTTGTGATAGATTTTGAGAGTGACTTACAACTAAATTTGTAGTTTTGTTTTATAAATTTATTACATGCAATAGCCTAATAAAATTGCAAACACTTGTTTTGATCATACTTGAGTAATGGTTAATATAGTTACATATGAGTAGAGGTTGTTTTTAGAGAGATTTATATATTTGTGAATTAGGTGTTCATAGATTCCTAAAATATGCCTAGCATTCATAAAAAACAATATAATCGTATTAGGAATTAGCACATTTTTTAGTCATACAAGTGATAATTTTCTCTTCTTTTAATCACGCAATCTATCATAATATTATTAGCTTTAATCAGAAGTATGAATGTATGATTACTTTTGTAGTGGCATAAAGCTAAATTATAATCGAAGGAAAAGTGTCAAATAAGTCCTTATATAGGGGCTTTGTTCGTCAATCGTCATTTGAGGTGGTTCCCGGTAGAATTTTTTGATGAAATTTTTTGAGCATCTTATTTATTAAGTCTAGTTTGCTCACACCAAATTTCAGCTAAAATTTCAATCGGAAGACATTCAAATAAATTCTTGAATATAACTGCGCTTTTAACTACGTAGATATGTTTAAGAATTAATTTGAACGTCTTCCCGATTGAAGTTTTAGCTGAAATTTGGTATGAATAAACTAGACTTAATGAATAAGATTCTCAAAAAAATTCATTAAAAAATTCCATCGAGGACCGCCCTAAATGGGAACAGCCGAACACAGCCTCCTATATAAGGACTTATTTGACATTTTTATGTAAGTTCGAGAAAGTCACCATTTTAATGAGTTTGAACTTGGAATGAGTAGTCATCTAAGGCTCTGTTTGCAAACACAACTAGAAAAGCACTTCCCAGCTTTTGGCTTAAAAAAGCTAAAAAAGATGTTTTCAAATGACAACTTCTACTTAAATGAATTACTTAAAAGCTAAAAGCTAGAATCTGCTTTTTACTTTTTCTATTACACAAAAAGCACTTATTTTACCAAACACCACCAACTTTTACTTTTCAAAATCACTTTTTTCTCAAACACTACCAACTTTTACTATTAATCACTTTTTTACCAAATCATTTAAAAAAGTTAAAAGCACTTCTCAATAGGGTTTGCAAACAGAGCCTAATAACTTGTCCTAAATAACTTGTTTTACACCTGCGATCTTGCAAATAATATTTGCCGGCTTTAAATTATCTTGATCATAGTAGCTCGCAATTTCTCGACGTAATTCAGGCAGAGGGAAATCTACTTTGACATCAACCCAGGTTTGGACTTGCAAACGAATGGCAGCTGAACTGTGGAAATCAATGAATGCCATACAGCATCGCATGCTTTCAGTACTTGTCGATTCCGCGAAGAAATCCAACCAAAATCCACTAGGATTCATCAATTCCCCAGTGAACTCGAAGAGGAGAAATCGGGCCCCAATTCCGCTGCCGCACAGAACGGTTCCGGAACCCAAAGGGCAAGACCTTGATTTCGTGAATGTGGCTCACAGTCACCTCACCCACTCCGACTGGGCGAACCTCGAATCAATATCATCCATGTTGACGCCTTTCAGAGTAAAGCACGTTCTTTTGAAAACCCAAAAGGATTACGTGCTTTCGCTAGAGTTTTTTAATTGGGTAGGTCTCAAAGCCCCCAAATTGCAGACTCTCGAGTCCCGTTCCATAGTTCTTCACGTCCTTACCAAACACAGGAAGTTCAAATCGGCGGAATCGATCCTAAGAAAGTTCCTGGAATCATGCTCTTTAGACGTTGATCTTCCAGCGAAGCTCTTCGATTCCCTGATATATTCATATAGAATGTGCGATTCTTCCCCGCGTGTTTTTGATTCCCTGTTTAAAACCTATGCACATATGAAGAAGTTTAGGAATGCCACTGATGTGTTTTGTAGTATGAGGGAATATGGGTTTCTCCCAACTGTTGAGTCTTGCAATGCTTATATTAGCTCGTTAATGGGGTTGAACAGGGCAGATATTGCAATGTCATTTTACAGGGAAATGCAAAGGTCTAAGATCTCCCCCAATGTGTATACTCTGAATATGGTTATTGGCGCATTTTGTAAATCAGGGAAACTGGAAAAGGCTATTGAAGTGTTTAAGGGAATGGAGAACAAAAATCTGAAACCTAACGTTGTGTCATTTAACACTTTGATATCAGGTCACTGTAATAGTGGTCTGCTCAGTGCTGCTATGAAGCTCAAAAACACGATGGAGAGGAGTGGGATTAGCCCAAATGATGTTACTTTTGGTACACTGATCCATGTGTTATGCAAGGAAGGGAAAATGAACGATGCTAATAAGCTGTTTAATGAGATGAAAAGGATTGGTGTGGCTCCAAGTGTTGTTACGTACAACACATTAATCAATGGGTACAGCCAAGCCGGTAAAAGTGAGATGGGTAATCAAGTTTATGAAGAGATGTGGAATAAAGGAATCAAAGCTGATATCTTGACTTATAATGCATTGATTTTGGGGTTTTGTAGGGAGGGCAAGACCAAGAAAGCTGCATATTTGGTGAAAGAACTTGATAAAGCAGGGTTGGTTCCGAATTCATCTACATTCTCTTCTCTAATAATTGGACAGTGTGTAAAGAAGAACTCTGATCGTGCCTTTCAACTCCTTAAAAGTATGGTTAGGGCTGGTTGTCACCCAAATGAGTATATTTTGAGTGTTTTGGTTTCCACCTTCATCAAGAATGATGATTATGATGGAGTAATGCAAGTGCTCAAAGAGATGCAAATGAGATCTTTTACTCTTGACTCGGTTATCTTGACTGAGATTCATGATGGGCTCTGTAAATATGGTAAAGAGGAAGAAGCTAGAAAGGTGTTTCAGGAGATAGAAGCAAGAGGTCTTATGCCCAAAAAGGATTTGAGTCATTTGACCAAACTAGAATGAATCTTTGGCGTATGTAAGTCAAGTGCCATCCAGTCAATATTTTCACTTGCAAGGCTCGCCAGTTCAAATTCATAACATGAGCGATCCTTCTGGATTTTTTTATAGTAGTCTTTCAGATAGCTCCATGATTATTGGGTTTGTAGCGTTGTCTCATCATTGCATTGATCACTCAACCGTAATTTGACATTTATAACCACAGACATAGCGAAGTTGGCTGAACAATTGCCAACCTTGAAGTTGTCAACATTGTTAGTTGTTACTAACCAGGTACTTTTTCACCATTTTGTTAGCTTATGAGTGAAATTTAAATCCTTAAATCTTAATCTTCAGGTCCTTAGATACACTCTTGATTTTTTTACCCTTGTAATCCTTTCAGGATTCTGGTTTTATCCACAAGATATGTGTAAAAAATGGCCTCAGGCCTCCAGATCTCCTTATAATCCTATTGAGGAACCAATATATCTCACTATCTCCACGTATTCTGTATCTGTCCGCCAATTATCATCTTATGCCATGTGTGCCTGTCCACACATCTTGGTTTTATATTTTTCCTTAAACCACTAGGGGTCCATTCGTCATGGTTATTTCACTGAACTTCATAGATGCTAATATTACTTACTACCTCAGTCTCCAAATAAGGTTCTTATTTGCTTTTGATATGATAATCAACATACAGTGAAAATTGCTTAGATAGTACCCCTATTTGTTTAGAAAGAGGGAAGAAGAATCTGAAGAACACAATTTTTTTATTCAATGGAAATGAAAAGATGTTTTTGACATGAATGGATAAGTAAAGTGAGAAGCTAATATGGGTATACGGGGATGAATATAAAAGCCAAAATGAAGTCATTTTTTTTTGTACTTCGTATGAAATATTTTTTTGGCAACTCATGGCAGGTATTTTACCTACAGGGAATAATCTTACCAAGAAGAGGGTTGAGACGGGAGGGTGTTGTGTGTGCAGTGAGGTGACCACTGAAACGGATCTGCATTTATTCCGAGAGTGTACAGTGAGTACAACGGTGTGGGTGAATATTGGCAGCAGGTTTGTTCGTCAAGGAGGGACAATTGGCGAATGGGTTCAAGGATATTTTGATAACTTGGGTATGGAAGATCTTTGCTGTTTTATAGTTGCACTTTGGAACTTGTGTAAAGCTCGTAATTAAAAGCTCTGGAAAGACAAAGGAGTGTCATGGAGGCAGATTATAGAGGTGGGGATTGCAAGTCTAAATGGATGGAAAAAAGCGCAGGAGTCGTGGTCGAGGAAGGGGATTGTGGACAGGGGAGGGCTGGTGTAGGCCGATGTCAGGATACATTAAAGTGAACATGGATGCGGCCATGAATCCTAAAGAAGGTATATGTGCTTGGGCATGGGTGGCTAGAGAGACAAGGAAGGTAATTTTCTTCGAGGTGGCTGTCAGACTTCGTTTGCAAGTTGGTCAGCTGAAATATCAGAAGCCTTGGGTGTCTGGGAGGCATTGGGCTGGGTAAAAGAACATGAATGGGTTGATGTTAATTTGGAATCAACTCTCTAATTCGATACTATTCTGGAGGACATCAGATTTTTATTGCATGATGAATCTAGGATAAATACTACACACTGCAAGAGGTCCGCAAATGGAGTAGCACATTCATTGGCTCGAGCTGCTCTATCTATGCCGGATGAGATTGTTTATTTTGTTTCACCCCCTAATTGTATTTTGAGTCAATTGATGAACAATGGCGTTTTTCCTTTCAAAAAAACCAAGGAAATGGCTTTGGTGCCAAATGCTTCAATTGGGTGCTAAAATGTGCAATGTACAACAATTCGCTGCGATCTTGTCTACTTTTGGGTCTATGAGCGACATACTATCTTAGACTTATTTACTTACTTAAAGTAAGAATTATAGTAAAACTGTAATAAACTAATAAAGCTTATAAAATTAAGATGAAATTTACTTTTTTTATTATTTAAATTACGGATGAAAGTAGCAACACAAGTATCACAAATTTGTGTAAATTAGACTTTGCACCCCGTTTTTAAAAAACTTTGTTTTTGCACCTCAATCCCATATGAAAAGACAAAATTGCCCCTCCATTAACAAATTTGTTGGCCTTCAACATATTCCTAAACGAGGGCATTTTTGTCTTTTCATATGGGGTTGGATGCAAAAACAAAGAGTTTTAAAAATGGGGTGCAAATTCCAATTTGGACGATAAAATGGAGTGCAAACTCAAATTACCCCAATATTAAAGGATGGATGTGTGTCACCTGAAATGTCTCACTCACCCCGGACCGCGCCCACCCCTACTAGTATTATCAGAAACATTTCATAAAGGGAACAACCTCATGAATAGTATAATCTATAAACAACATTATCATAGACGGTTCGGAACGGTCCGGTAAACTAGTAAAACCCGTAATGTATCCGTTAGGTTTTTAACGGTCCGGTTTCAAGGATGGAACCGTTCGGTACCATGACGTTTCAGAACGGTACGGTACAATGCCATACACATGCTAAAAGTTTTGAACAAATCTTGAAATTAATTAGTTGATATTTTCCCACAAACCAAGTCACATGAAATGTTGATATAAATACAAGAAATTGCATATGTAGTACTAAACTTCACAAATACACAAATAGTGCAACACAGCTAAGAAAAAGTATAGCAAAATGATGACGGATGAGATAAATATCATCTTTAATTTACTAAGTTCATGTGAAAATATTAAAAAAAAAATATCATCAAATTGTTGAATATAATAGAAATCTTCAATGTTTTTCTTCTTCGTTCTAGGTTAAATATTTCTCCGTAGTTCTAATTTAATTTATAGTTGAAACTTGAGAGCTGAGATTTAAACCATATTAATCAAGTTGCAAAATTGCGCTAACATGATACTCCGTACTACAAAAAGTCATGTACACTACATTACTAGAAATGAATAGTCCTTAATGATTTCTAAAATTTTAATATTCTCTCAATACATATCAAAATATAACATAAATTATCTAAAAAGAAAAAATAACAATATATATGTATATATATATATATATATATATATATATATATATATATATAGGACTTTTCATGTCCAGCCGGCCTGACGGGAACCGCCGTCCGGCCGAGGGCATTTCGGGCACTTCCCGGTGGAATTTTTTGATGAAATTTTTTGAGCATGTTCTTCATGAAGTCTAGTTTATCCATACCAAATTTCAGCTCAAAATTCGATCGGGAAGGCACTCAAATAATTTCTTGAAGTTAACTGGGCAGTTCATACATATAAACTGCCCAGTTAACTTCAAGAAATTATTTGAGTGCCTTCCCGATTGAATTTTTAGCTGAAATTTGGTATGGATAAACTAGACTTCATGAAGAACATGCTCAAAAAATTTCATCAAAAAATTCCACCGGGAAGTGCCCGAAATGCCCTCGGCCGGACGGAGCATCCCGTCAGGCCGGCTGGACAAGAACGGGACTCTATATATATATATATATATATAGATTTTGGTTCAGGTGAGAAATGCATCTAATGTGAGAAATGAGAATGAATCTCAGCCATTGGATTTACGAAGTTGCACTAAAATTGGCTTTATGTTGCAGTAATATTTAAATTTTGCACATGTTGTACTAAAATTGTTTCATGTTGCACTAATATTTGACTGAGTTGCACCGAAATAGCTTTATGTTGCACTAGACACGTGTAATACGGATTTTTCAGAAGTATTTACAGAAATGCCACCGTGCTAGATTGCATATTTCAGTGCATCATGAAGTGTCTTTTACTGCAACTTAGTCGAATCCAATGGCTGAGATTCATTCTCATTTCTCACCCAAAGGGTTCTTCTCACTTGAACCTTACCCTATATATATGTGTGTGTATATATATATATATATATATATATATATATAAAATATAAACACACACATTTAGCTAGTTTAGGAACGCATGAATACATACTTGGGCTATAAAATTGTTTGTCTATAAAAGAGATCTATTGGTATAGAAAAATTATAAAAAATTCAAATGCATTTTTTTTAACGGTTCGGTCCGGTATTTTTTGGTTCTCAAAATCTAGGACCGATACCTTACCCGTTTCAAACGGTTCAATTTCGGTACGGGACAAAAATCTATAGAACCGTTTAAACACCTGATATTTGGTTTGTTGGTACCATTACGGGACGGCTTGGTACCGGTTCGGTACGGATTTTATGTCCACCCCTAAATATTAGTATGTAAGTTTGACCCTTGAAATATATTCTTGAATACACCATTGACTGAGGCAGCACATCTGTGTACTTCTATTGCAATGTCCATAAATGAATGCAGAATAAATCACACGAACAGCTTTGACATGCGGTGAGTAATAAATACTACGTATTAAATAATGGTGGACTAGGATGGGATCTGGCAGGCTTCACGCCAAAGGATTTCGGGCCCGATACTAGCCCGGGTTTGTATCGGTACCGGGTTGGGCCGGGCTACTCAGCCGTGCTTTGGTCCGGGCCTCGGTTGGCCTATTTTTTTGAAGGATTAAAAGGAATTTTTTTTTTTTGAATTGTTGACCGTTAGGCCCGGGCCGGTCCACTAAAAGCTGAGCCCGATGCCCACCTGCTTCTTCCACCTGGCCAGGTCCACTAAAAGTTGAGCCTGATGCCCACCTGAGCTGCTCCTTCCAACGGGTCAGGTCCCGAGCTTGGTACCAATCCCGGACAACCGGGCCTAAACAGTGCCTGGTCAGGCCAAACAGCGGGTCAGGTAGGCTCGTCCCAGTCCATCCCTAGTAATAAATGGGGGCTTTCAGTTATGACAGATATGTATTATTTTATGGAGATTCGTAGTAGGTTTGCATTACCTGATTCCTGAAGGCTTCCAATTTCCAAAGGGCATATTTAGTGTAAATGAAAATTAATGTCACTCTTGAGGTTAAATCATAACTACTTGTCCAAACTTATACTTTTAAAAAATATTCATCTGACACCACTTCTCTTCTGCAGTTGTGTCTCATTTGACACCACTTCATTGCAAAATCAAATAATTGTCATCTGAAATTGCATTCTAAAAAGTTAAGAATACTTGTTATTTTTTATTATAAGTCGTGATAATTGCTCACTATTTTTCCGCCTCATGAAAATGAAATGTCTATGAGATTGGCAGAGGCGGAAAAATAAAAAATAGTAATAATGACTTGTAATAGTAAAGAATTGTTTTGACCTTCAGCCTTTTAAGGAATGATTTTATACACTTTTGGTCAGATTTGATAATCATATAATGTCAATGAGACAAGTATTAACAAAATGAGAAAGATGCGATAGTTGTTGGACCAAAGCGCTTTTAACACAAATTGATATCGCCCAAGTCACTTCAACACCAACTTATGGCGTTAGAGGTTCGTATTGAGGTTCAACTTTCAAGGTGAGGTGAGCGTTGATATTCCCAACAATAACAATTGAACTCTAACGGGTTAGGAAAATTCGCTGTGTACACCCCGGTTTACACACCGGTGTACACAGCACAAAAAGCCCCACCCCCACCCCTTTGTAACCGTATAACCCCCACCCTCTCTCCCCTCTTAATTTTTTTTCCGTCTCTCCCTCCCCTGCACAGAGAAGAAATTGTCTGCTGCGAAAATCTTTCGTCTGTAACTATTCTCTCTCTCTCTAAAGAGGTGATCGAGCTTCTACAGCGGCCATGGAAGCTAGTAAGACGTATTGTGGCACCGACGAAGTTGCCCTGGGCTGGACATTTGAGGATATATTCGGTCCGAGTCCCGGGGACACGCAAGTGGCGATGGAAAGCTTTGAGGATGCGACAGAATTCATGAGGCAAGGACATGAAGAGGCGGAAACAACGGCGATGAAGGGTGCGACGGAAGGTGATGAAGGGATGGCCGATGAGAAAACTGTGGATGCTGAGCAAGGTTGGTGTTTATTTAGCATCGTTTCTTCATGGGTATTATATGGTTTCTTCATGAGCGTTTTTTTAAGCATAGACAAATTTGTATTGTCTGTTTATACTTTATAGAGAAGTAATTTGTCTGCGTGGAGACATTTGTTGTCTTTCGTACAGACATTTTATTCCCATTTGTATGTATTCTTTCGTTGTTATGGAAGACATTATGATGTTCATACAATCTGTTTTTAATGTCATTACACTGCCTTTTGTTGTTTGTATTTATATTAATAATGTCTGTAATTATTAATAATTTATTCATTTCTTCTTTTATGTGGTTTTACCATCTCATCAATATACCCTAGTATAAACTTATAATGTCTGTATGTGCATAATTTGTATCTTTCCATAATGTCTCCATGTCCTTAATATTGTCTGTACTTGAAAAATATTGTCTGCATATACATATTTATAAATAACAGATGCATACAGACATAATAATGAGGAAGAAGATGTTGATGCGGTTGTTCCTGAAGTGGGCATGAAGTTTGACAGCACTGAGGCCGTTTATGAGTTTTACAAAAAATATGGTAGAAGGATAGGATTTCCGGTTAGAAAAAGAACATCAACGAAGGATAGAAAAGGCGACGTAGTGTCAATAGTAATAGAGTGCTCACAGGAAAAACCGTTTGAAGGGGCCTCTGGAAAAGGGGAAAACGAAGTCAAAGGTATGTTGCCCTGCCATTTCTTTAATGTACAGACACTTACAACACTTTCGCAGACATTGATCACCTATGCACAGACACCTTACATTGTGTTCAACATTACTGATTCTTCCCTTTATTCCAGGCTAGTGGGCGTAATAAACGAAAGGCAACGGACACTGCTGTTGAAGAGGGATGCGCTGATCAACATGGTGTTGGTGTAGTCAACAATACTATGACATTACACTTTCAGGACGGATTAGATTTAAATCTTACTCTTTTTTGAATGTAGTATATGATTGGAATGATTTACATCCTTGTTTATGGAATGTTGTAAACAAAATTACTATTATGTGAAGGTAGGATGATTTGTGCTATTTTTACAAATTTTCAATGTACTGCTTTGTGATCAATTAGTTTTTTTTTCTTACTCAATTATATACCGCAGACAAAATCCATCACATTACAGTCAATTATTTTGCATAATACAGACAGAATTATACAGAAAAAATGCAGACAAAATGCAGAATAATACAGACACTTAGTTTTTACTAATCAAATATATGAATCAAATGATAGTACTCCACAATAATACAGACACTTAGTGTTTACTAATCAAATATATGAATCAAATGATAGTACTCCACAACAATTATCATAAAATGTTGCAATAAATGCTTGCCGAAGTACAACCAAAATGCATATCAATGTGTACTACAAGCTACACAGACAACCGCAAAATATACAGACATTCTTGTACGTATGCCACAGACAAAAAAATATTGGAAGCACATTGTAGAATTATTGTACAACATGGCTCGACCATTATTGTAAAAAATACTACATCTAACCACCAGTATGTCAAAAAATACATCTACCCCCAATGTGTTTTTAATAATTACATATACAAAAATAATTGTTTTACAACATCGATCTTGCCATCATTGTTCATCATTGTACAGACATTTAGCTTGATTGTCTTTCATCTTCCATAGGCGTTTAGCATACTCACGCCTCTTATCTTTCATCGATCTTGCAAGGTTAGACATTCACTAAGCAGTTCTAAGGCATCTTCGTAGTCAGAGCGCACAGAGTATTGTGCGGGAAATTAGTCTTTGATGGGAATCTTCAATTCCATCCTGCAAATACAGACATTTGTCAGAAATACAGACATCTATGAAAACTATATAGACAACTCTGCAATCGGCAAATGCTTATAGACAAGTAAAAAATGAAAATACATATGCAATAACACACTACACAGACATCTATGAAAACCATAAAGACAACTCTGCAATGCACAAACGTATCAAAACAAACAACACAGACATCTCATGGGACATATATACACAACTCTACAATCCGCAATTGCTTATAGATAAGTACAAAATGAAAAAAAACATATGCAATAACACAGTACACAGACATCTATGAAAACCATAAAGACAACTCTGCAATGCACAAACGTATCAAAACAAACAACACAGACATCTCAGGGGACATATATACACAACTCTACAATCCGCAATTGCTTATAGATAAGTACAAAATGAAAAAAAAAACATATGCAATAACACAGTACACAGACATCTATGAAAACCATAAAGACAACTCTGCAATGCACAAACGTATCAAAACAAATAACACAGACATCTCAGGAAAACCATATGGGTTTTGAACAACATTTTACCGATGGCTTTTAAAAAGTAAAAACGTACAGACAAGCATCACACCCACACAGACATCTCATACAAGCCATAAAGACAACTCTAAATCCGCAAACATATAGCAAAACACTAAACAGACATTTCAGGGGAAACCCACAAAAAGAACTCTGCAATGCACAAACATATAAGAACACAGTTTACAGACATCTTAGAATACACAAAACAACACACTACACCGACATATCAGAAAACTCATCTCAGAAAAAACACAACAATGAAGATGGTTATGAAGATCTTTACCTCTGAGCCAATTGAGTCAATGATGTGCGCACCATATCCTTCGAAATCGAAGTCTTGCACTTAAAATTTTAGATGAATTTCAACCTCGCCCTTCGAAATCAGTAACCGCCGTACGTACGAGTTCAGTGGAGTGAAGCGGACGACGGCCGGGGGGGTTTCGTGACCGGCAAACGGAGAAGAAGAGGGAGAAGGGTGTCAACTTCGTCGTAGGTGTCAAATTCGACGGACGAACGGAGAAGAAGAGTGAGAAGGGTACAGATGAATGGAGAAAGGGAAGGAGAAGGAGAAGTGGGGCGGATTAGCTCAGAAGGAGGGTGGGGTGGGTTAATTAGAAAAAGGGGTGGGGGTGGGGGTGGGGCATTTTGTGTTGTGTACACCGGTGTGTAAACCGGGGTATACACAGCGAATTTTCCAACGGGTTATTATTTTGCTTTCAAGAACTCAAGGCAGTACTAAATATGACCAAACCTCAAAGGGTAGCAATGATTGTCAATGTAACATACTATCAAGACAATTAAAATGCATGCTTTCACACGATATTACATCAGTATCTGACCTTAGCTTTTTTATATAAAAAAATCTGAAGATAGGTGCACCCAAGTCCGGCCATAAGAACAAGAAGGAATTCCGATGAAATAAAAATTATGATCTTTACACAGAGCATGGCTGATATGATAAGTATCCTTCATTCAACTAAATGCCAGTTCATGCCGTGCAATCGCACATTGGCCAGGGTAGAAGCCAAATAACATTTACTATACATACTGTAAAAATATGTGAAGTATAGCAATGAATAAAAACTGTGTGTATAATGCCAGTTTGGTAACCTTGTTTATTTGGCTTAGGATATGTTTGTTGGTAAAGATATGTTTATTGTTTATATGGTCAGGATATGTTTATTGGTAAAGATATTTTTGTGAGCTTTTTAATAACCGTTATCTTTTAGTAACTGAAAAGATCTTAAAAAGAAAAGGTAGTAGCTGTTTGGAAAAAGCTGATTATTTGATTTAGTTCGGTTTGGTATACAAACTGTTAGAGCTAATTAATACTAAAAATAACGGGTTTTTTCAGATGCTACTGCCTGTAACATCTCAAAAAAGATCTTTTAATTTTTGAAAAACTCTTAAAAATTGGCATGTCAAACATATAGCTATATGCTTTTAGAGACTTTTTGAACAACATAAAAGCTAGAAGTCAGAGACTTATACCGACCAAACATAGCCTTATAAACCTTATTAGCCCGATTTCTTACCAAACACTACACTTTTATTCTGTGTGCTGAGATAAATAATAAAGAAAAGTAAGTTTTAAGATATTTTTATGATTGATGTGCTGAAGAGGATAATCTTAGCTTTTTTCATATAATTTTTTCTTTATGTTATATTTAAAAAAGGGAAATATAATTAAAATATCCCCAATTTTGAAGGAGTGTGACGTAAACACCCCAAACTTGCATATATAATTTAAATACTCAAACTTTATATAAAAGTTATTTTGGCACCATTTTTGAGTGTTATTTATTTCAAAAACGTTACTTTTTGGTGTTAATTTCATAATTTAAATTTTTTTAGCATTCATGAAATACAATTAACATTCTAAACTTTCATTGTAAAATAAATAATACTACACCCACTCTATATAATTGCAACATTTTTTATTTGTTATTTAAATTATGCAATGAACACCATATATTTACATTTTTGAAAGAATTAATATATGACATGTTGGGCCCTAAATAATTCTCTTTTGACTAGCCCGGCAAAAGAGTAAAACTCGCAGGAGGTATGCCCAGCCCATAAGCTAACCAAATGTGGTCCACCTAATCAAGGGATATTTTAAAGTAAAGATAGAGCCGAAGGAGTCCACACACACCTAAAAGTAAGAGGACAAGGCGTAAAGATAGCATTGGGTTCCTAAACTTGGGGAAAGGGTAGCTTTTTACTGCATAAATACATTAGACTATTCCCATTGTAGAACATATGGTGAGCATTCGATTACCAATGGGGGATAAAGAATCAGATGTCTTAAAGGTATGATATTAGACTATGAGCCCGTTTGGTAGCGCAAAGCTGTGCTGAGTGTCCTTAATTATGAGATAACTATATTATATAGATCTACATTTTAAAGAGGGAAAAATAATTAAAATACTTCAAACTTTGAAGGTGTGTGAGAAAAACACCCCAAACTTTCATATGTAATTTAAACACCCCAAACTTTAGATAAAAAAATATTTTAGCACCATAGTCATGTTTAAACAAGAAATAATCTAGTCTAAATGAATATTTGAATAGGGAATCAAGCAATACCGAATCAATTATGGAATAATTAACCAAGGAAGTAAATTAAATTAATATGTGCTAATGAAGAAGAAAGATCTTCGTAGTATGCTTTTGTTTTACAGAATATATTTCTAGTATCTTGGTAATCTAATGCTCACAATATGTTCTACATTGGGAATAGTCTAATGTAATTATGCAGCAAAAAGCTACCCTTTTTCCAAGTTTAGGAACCGAATGCTATCTTTACGCCCCCGTCCTCTTACTTTCAGTTGTGCGTGGACTCCTTCGGCTCTATCATTAATTTAAAATATCCCTTAATTAGCTGGACCACACTTGGTTAGCTTATGGGCTAGGCATACCTCCTGCGAGTTTTACTCTTTTGTCGGGCTAGTCAAAAGAGAATTATTTAGGGCCCAACAGTTGCCCCCATTCTTGATGGTGAGGATTAGTTCACGGGTAAACATAGTCATCATTACGAATTTAAACTCTTCCGTCTGTTCTACTTGCTCCACTTTCCCGATGTCTGCCTAACCTCTCGTAAAAAGAGACACCTTTTATTGCCAAACGCGATTTAGCCCCTCTTTCTTCTCAACCCTCGAATCTCGTCCTTCAGCATATGAAATTTCCCAAATTTCTCTCTTCCATTGCATCCATGTAACTTGCCGTCCTCAAGAGTCAAGGTGTCTTCAAGATGAAGAACCTTAGGGCGGCCGAAGGACTTGGAGGAGAGGTTAAGTCTTCATACGGGTTCCCTCCCTCTGCTCATATCCGATTTCCAGCCCGTGGGGAACGAGTCGACTGGATTTCTCCAGGGTGGCTTAACTTTTACCAATATCCCTTTGAAAAGCTTGGAGTTCGTTTCTCTTTCTCTGAACTTGTAAGTGGTTTCACCATTCGTGCTCAGCTTTCCCCCTGTCAAATCATGCCTAAGGCTTGGCGACTTCTTCGCTCCTCAGAGTATTTGATTGAGAAACACAGTCTTCAATATTCTGCAGAAGATCTAAGCTATCCATACGATTTAAGAACTTCCGGAAAGGGACGGTTTACCATTGTGACGAAAGTAGGAGCGGATCCCATTATTTTGGGGATTAGTGGTGCCAATGATCGAGGCTGGATCTCCAAGTTCTTTTTTGTTAAGAAGTCTTGTTTAGGTGAACACATGAACTCCTTCCCAGACCGCTTGAGAGTCGTTGGTAAACCTTGTATGTTTTCTGATTTATTCTTTCCTTTTTTTAGCTGCTTTTGAGTGTGTCTTTATGTTCTTCGTTGTTCATCATGTTTTCTTAGTGAACGAAGAGAAAACGAAGGAAAAAGAGGCAAATGTGGGAGAGAAAGAAGTGAAGACGATTCCTCTGGAGTTTGGTCCCCACTCTGAAGAAAGGACTATCGCATTCTTGGCTCTATCCCCTGAAATTCGTCTTTATGCAAATCTTAAAAAAGAATTTAGAGGTATCGTTGTTTATTCTCCTTCTGTGAATCCAATTCGTGTTGGGTTAAGGCGTTCTGCCCAGAACATGTCTAAGTCCCTTGGTTCATGTCAAGATATCTCAGTTGATAGCACTGATAATGGTGAAGATGATACTGCAAGTGTTACTGATGATGTTTCCATTATGCCTGCTGCAACCGAATGTGCCTTGGTGATGCGTAATGCCCCCCATATCACCTCTCTGTCTGCTGGTAAGTACCTAACTGAGTTATCCCTACCTATAACTTTATAGGTGTGCATGATGTCTTAATATTTTCAATTGTTTAGGTGCCTCATCCTCATCAGGAGTCCGCAAGGCTCTGGATCTTGCTGAACTCTTGAATCTGAAATCCAAGAAGAAAAAGATGACGCCTCTGCTTCCTCCGGCGGTCAACCCTATTGCAACCACGACCTGCTCGCTTCTTCCCCCTACGCCATGTATAAGTGTTGATGTGGAAAAGGCAACTATTAGAGCTAACCCCTCCGCCAATTTTTGTTGACTGGATAATGCCCTGAAAATGAAGAATGAAATAACTCAGATGTTGCTTCCTTCTGCAATTGATGTCTTCGCTGGTTTCGATGACGTCAAAGTTTTGACAGCATCATCCGCATTTGCCTTTCAGGTTTGTTTAATGAAAATGATAATTATTTTGCCGTAAGATCCATTTCCCACGGCCGAAATATTTTGTCTCATTCCTGAAATATTTATCATTTTGCACAGGTAAATTAACAAAAAGGCAAATGAACAAGACATGAGTGAGGTATGTGACAACAATTTGCTCATTCCTCATTTCAATATTATCTTAATTTACTCGCTCACTTTGACAAATAAAAAGGGCACCTCATTTATTTTGAAACATTAAGTAAAAATAACATCTACTTTGTTAACAACTTCACAATCACTTTAAAGATGTTTAAAACCATTTCTTTTACATATTTATCAATTCACGATTACTGAGCATCAGAGGGTCGTTGGCTTAAAGCCAACAGCCAGATTGCTACGGTATGAACAGGCATAAGATTTTCAGAACATGTACATGTCAACTCCACTGATAGCTGACAACATCAATCAGCTCTTCTAAAGTTGCTAACGCACTCCTTGATCACATCAACAAGGGATAACAAGGATTGCATAGGCTCGTTGTATGGAGAATACGAAAATCAAACCTATGCACCTTGTATGTTTTGGCCAAAACATCGTACATCACAAACGCTGACAACATCAAAGTCAGGCGTACCCAAGGCAACAGATTGAACGTGAAATACAAACGACGACATTAAACAGTCATCGAAACCAGCGAAGACATCAATTGCAGAAGGAAGCAACATCTGAGTCATTTCATTCTTCATTTCCAGGGCATTATCCAGTGAACAAAAATTGGCGGAGAGGTCAGCTCTAATAGTTGCCTTTTTCACATCAACACTAGTACATGGCGCAGTGGGAGGAAGCGAGCAGGTCGTGGTTGCAATAGGGTTGACCTCCGGAGGAAGCAGAGGCGTCATCTTTTCTTCTTGGATTTCAGGTTCAAGAGTTCAGCAGGATCCAGAGCCTTGCGGACTCCTGATGAGGATGAGGCACCTAGACAATTGAAAATATTAAGACATCATGCACACCAATAAAGTTATGGGTAGGGATAACTCAGTTAGGTACTTACCGGCAGAAGGCTTCAGAGAGGTGATATGAGGGGCATTACACATCACTGAGGCACATTCGGTTGCAGCAGGCATAATGGAAACATCATCAGTAACACTTGCAGTAGCATCTTCACCATTATCAGTGCTATCAACTGACACAACTGAGACATCTTGAAATGAACCAGAGGACTTAGACATGTTCCGGGCAGAACACCTTAACCCAACACGAATTGGATTCACAGAAGGAGAATAAACAACGGTACCTCTAAATTCTTTTTTAAGATTTGCATAAAGACGGATTTCAGGGGATAGAGCCAGGAATGCGATAGTCCTTTCTTTAGAATGGGGACCAAACTCCAAAGGAATCGTCTCCGCTTCTTTCTCTCCTACATTTGCCTCTTTTTCCATTGTTTTCGCTTCGTTCACTAAGAAAACATGATGAACAATGAAGAACATAAAGACACACTCAAAAGCAGCTAAAAAAAGGAAAGAATACATCAGAAAACATATAAGGTTTACCAATGACTTTCAAGCGGTCTGGGAAGGAGTTCATGTGTTCACCTAAAGAAGACTTCTCGACAAAAAAGAACTTGGAGATCCAGCCTCGATCATTGGCACCACTAATCCCCAAAATAATGGGATCCGCTCCTGCTTTCGTCACAAGGGTAAATCGTCCCTTTCCGGAAGTTCTTAAATCGTATGTATAGCTTAGATCTTCCGCATAATATTGAAGACTGTGTTTCTCAATCAAATACTCTAAGGAGCGATGAAGTCGCCAAGCCTGAGGCATAATTTGACAGGGGGGAGGCTGAGCACGAATGATGAAACCACTTACAAGTTCAGAGAAAGGGAAACGAACTCCAAGCTTTTCAAAGGGATATTGGTAAAAGTTAAGCCACCCCGAAGAAATCCAGTCGACTCGTTCCCCACGGGCTGGAAATCGGATATGAGCAGAGGGAGGGAACCCGTATAAAGACTTAATCTCCTCCTAGTCCTTTGTCCGCAAATCGGCCGCCCTAAGGTTCTTCATCTCGAAGACACCTTGGCTCTTGAAGACGGCAAGTTCCATGGATCCAATGGAAGAGAGAAATTTGGGAAATTTCAGATGCTGGAGGACGAGATTCGAGGGTTGAGAAGAAAGAGGGGCTAAATCGTGTTTGGCAATAAAAGGTGTCTCTTTTTACGAGAAGTTAGGCAGACATCGGGAAGAGTGGAGCAAGTCGAACAGACGGAAGAGTTTAAATTCGTAATGATGACTATGTTTACCCGCGAACTAATCGTCACCATCACGAATGGGGGCAACTATTGGGCCCTAAATAATTCTCTTTTGACTAGCCCGACAAAAGAGTACAACTCGCAGGAGGTATGCCCAACCCATAAGCTAACCAAGTGCGCTCCAGCTAATCAAGGGATATTATAAATTAATGATAGGGCCGAAGGAGTCCACGCAGAACTGAAAGTAAGAGGACGGGGCGTAAAGATAGCATTCGGTTCCTAAACATGGGGAAAGGGTAGCTTTTTGCTACATAAATACATTAGACTATTCCCATTGTAGAACATATGGTGAGCATTCGATTACCAAGATACTAGAAATATATTCTGTAAAACAAAAGCATACTACGAAGATCTTTCTTCTTCATCAACACATATTAATTTACTTCCTTTGTTAATTATTCCATAATTGATTCGGTATTTTTTGATTCCCTATTCAAATATTCATTTAGACTAGATTATTTCTTGTTTAAACATGACCATGGTGCTAAAATATTTTTTTATATAAAGTTTGGGGTGTTTAAATTACATATGAAAGTTTGGGGTGTTTATCTCACACACCTTCAAAGTTTGAAGTATTTTAATTATTTTTCCCTCTTTAAAATGTAGATCTATATAATATAGTTATCTCATAATTAAGGACATTCAGCACAGCTTTGCGCTACCAAATGGGCTCATAGTCTAATATCATACCTTTAAGACATCTCATTCTTTATCCCCCATTGCTATAGCTATTCCAATTCTGCAGAAAGGAGAAATCGGCAGGATGAGAAACTATGCACTTGAAGTGCACGATACTTTATTTGATTATCTGAATGGGTTCCATGGTAAAAAAAAGGTATTTAAAAATTAACAAATTTAAGCACTCAAGTGTAATCCGAGCAATCATTACCTTTTGAATCATCACTCAGAAGAAGTTTAATTAACAGCAACCGAGAGGTGTTACTTCTGAATCCCATTCCTGCATCTTTTTATCGCGTTCATTCTAGTTCTCAAGCAAATCGCAACACACCAAAATAACAATAATAATAATAATATAAATTTTCTGATTGTTATGCTACTGGAAATTCTACAAAGATTGCGAAGGAAGATCTCTCTGCCTCTCGTACATACTGTACAGTGCCATTCATAATTCGAACAAGTTTCTGGCTTATATACAAACCAAGACCCTCCCTCGACATGCTTTCACTTTTCTTGAACATTTCCTGGATTAGCTCTTCTGGAACACCTGGGGCTGGATGTGTCATCCTGGAGACATACAAAACAAACAATCCAGGTTAATTTCAGGAAACCAAACAAGCTACCATGTTACAAAGTAATCATTTATAGAAATGTGACATGACACACATAACAAGGACGTCCTTTTTGCATTTTGTGAGCTACGTCAGTTTTTTAAACAGAGAGAGGCTTAAAGAAAAGAATGTAAAGTATAGGGACAAAAAAAAAACCAAAAAAACACTGTATTACCAGGAATGATGAACATATTTAAGTTTTAAGTAGTATTATTACCGAAACTCGAGATGCACTAGATGCATTTTGGTTCCTAAAGGCTTCCTGGTAGGAATAATTCTAAACAAGACAGATGAATCTTCGAAATGGGGTGTGAAGAGTAGAGTGGCCATCAAGAAGTCAGAGAGCACTTGTTGAATCCTCAAATTGTCTCCAAACAGGAACAAGGAAGATGCTTCAATGGGAAAATCACACATGACCTCCACCTGCCACTCCCTGCTTGGAATCATAGCTTGATTTACCACCGCTTTCATAGCCTCACCAAGATTGAACTTGCAACAGTTCATTTCCATATAGCTGAAATATTTTCAAAAGAGTAGACACACAAAGAGTAAATAATCTTGTTTAGTTTGCAGAGAGATCTTGCTTTCAGCAATGATCATATGAGAGAATGAGACTTCCATTTCCAAAGAAAGCGTAAATAATCTTATTTAGTTTGCATATCACTTTTTCTTATTTTGGTCAAGTTAGACCAGATTAGATGTAAATATAATTCAGACAGTCAAATTAGACAGGACATGAAACTACAATCCAATCAGACCAAACCAGACTAACCAATCCAAGATCAGATCTTAATATTTTCATATCAAGTCACATTTGTTCAAAGCATCTTGAAGAGTTTGTCCCACACCAGCTAAATATGAAATAACAAACCAACTTGCATCTAGAATATTAAGACTTCGGTGTAGGACAAACTCTTGAACAACAAACATAGTAAAACAACAAACATAGCATAACAACAATAACAATGGTGGAAGGCACATTGTTATCATTACCATTCTTCAATACTTTCAATATTGGTATCATCAATGATCTTGTCCAGTTGTTCTTGGCACGCCATACTAGTCTTCAGAAGCAGAGATTGATCCTTGCTTAGGTCAGAAGATCTCATCATATTCTGAATGAATTTTATACCATTTAATGGATTTCTAATTTCATGACGAAGATATGCCAACTTTTTTAGGCCATCTGCAGCTGCTTGCTCACACAGTTTTTGCACATGAATTGCATGCTGTAGTTCTGGGCTGGGAACGTGTAAAAAACAAAGGACCCCACTAATCCTCCCTGCCACATCAACTCTTCTATTAGCTGATATTAAAGCTTCGATGTATTTATTTTTCTCATCAAAAAACCCAAATATCAATTCCTGTAAATCCTGTCCAGAAATTACTCCGTTCAGCAATATCATGAGTTTTGTCAACATGTCGTTATCTTTGACTCTACAACCGAAGCTGCTCACTGTGAAGACTTCACCAAGAATCATTTGACCGATGGCCTCTTCTCTTTTCAATCCAGTCAATTTCTGCATTGCGTCGTTCCATTCCAAGCATCTGCCGTACTCGTCCATTAAAAAGATTGGAGGGATTAATGGAGAAGGGCTATGTAATATCCGAACATAATCACCTTGTATAAGGTTATATTTGTCCATAATCAGCTTTTCTCCAGTTACATCTTGTCCTACAAAACACACTCCGATAATATCTCCTTTTCTGTCCCGGCTCGAACAGGCATTCGCTACCAGAGTGACAGGATCATCGTTTTCTAGCGAATCAAACTTTTTTAGTCTGATTTCAACATTTTTCTCCTCTTTGCCTAACATTCAATGTAATAATTATATATCAGTATAGGGAAGAATCATATACTTCTTCCGTCTCCAAATCCCAAAAAAGGCTTCTAACTTTTACCAAAACTAATATTTAAAAGAGTCCCTAATAGATAAGCATGTTAAATTTAGTTAAAGCAAAACAATATAGCTAGAATTGATTTTCTACAGTAGTATAACAAAATTTAATCCAAATGTCAAGAGTACGAAGATAAGATATAATGACCTTGCAAAGCAAGTGAGAGAGCATTTGAAACGGTGCCAACAGCCTCTTTGAGAACCAGATCAACTAAGGGCACACCTATAGCCTGTCCTACAACCAATCCGGTAAGCTCGGCCACTTTGACATTCCACCCGTTGACACAACCGGAAGCATCAACAGCCAAAATGGGTATAGATGCAGTCTCAATAAGACGGACCATTTCATGTGTCACAAAATGAAGCTCATGGACCCTCTGTATACTGGTAAGGTCAACAGCAGCAGGAGATACACTCACAATCATCTTAGAACCATCTTCTTGCAATGACCCTCTTAATATTAGCTGCAAGGAATGAATCGCATCCATTTCCATATCTTCCCATGGTAGACTCCTCTTAACCACCTCCAGGAAAGCCTTGAAGGAAGATCTTGGATGCATTTTCCTCTCGTCATCCATATCTGTGGGGTTGTTTTTGGCACCACCCCACTTGATTGCTTTTGCCGTGTGAGATCTAAACCAAAAGAGAAAATCTTTGGAAGATATTTTAACGGCAGCCATTCCACAGACTGAATCACTGAGAGTAGAGGCATTGTTATAGCCAGCTTCCACAAGGCTATCGGTGCTTAACCCCGTACTATCTCTATGAGAGTCGAGTAGCCAGTTGGCTATGTCACAAATTTCAGGCTCGGTCGGGGTGGACCCAAGCAACCAAACTTTGCCCTTGTAGTAAAGAGCCGCCCCGTCACATCTCACAAGGTCCATAATATTAGGAGACTTGGTGACAATCCCAACGGGGGAATCTCTGAGTAGCATGTCACAAAGTACGGTTTGGATTCGCATAATATGTTTTTCCTGACGGCGCGCCACCACCTCTACTTCCTTGTTGATCTGAGAACTGAAAACCTGGACCAAAAACTCGCACGCGTACCTCAATGGGAATGGGACAAACCGTGGGGTTGAGTGATGGCAAACCACCAATCCCCAAAGTTTTCTTCCCCTTTCTTGATCTTCAAAACCTGGCTCGTCACTGTCCTCATCAATCGTCACGGACATTGCTAAAGATGCAACAGACCCCATGTTGGCCATGTATTGTGCATGGCAAGCATGTGGAGCCCTTAACGTGGACCCACACAAGCTTAACGGTTCAGCCAACTTCTTGTCTTGGATCACTTTAACTGATGGAGCTAAGCAATCACATATCATTCTGACCTTGTTTTTCATGAAAAGAACTCTCGAAGCTTGTGGTATATCAGTGGACGGGTAATGCAACCCAAGATAAGGCTCAAGGTCTGGTTTGCTGCAGCATTCTGAGACAACTTCCCCATGCCCGTCCTCATGGAATTTATAAACCATGACTCGATCATAACCTGTTAAATCCGTCATTTCCCTAACGAGAACATCACACAGCAGTAGTATATCCCCACTTGGCAACGATTGCAACCTGGAAATGGCTTTGGATGCTAATTTATATGATTCCAATGCTCCAATGGCCGTAACGGGAAGATCTTTGGGATCCACAGGCTCCAAATCTACAACTATGCCAACATCGACCCGATGTAGGATTGCATAGAAGGGCTTCCCGGAACTTCTCGAGTAGACCAGAATCGGATTGGTCAAACCAACTTCCTCAAAGCTTGCTGCCTTTTGAAGTGCAGCAGACCCCGCTGAAAGAAATAGAGTCCTAATGTCAGTGCCAATGGTCAGACACTCTTGCTGGTCAATGTTTGGAACAGTACATGGTGCCAAATCAAGCAATTCTGGAGTATTTTCACTATACCCTATAACAGCAAGTTTCTGCTCATCAATGGCTACTAAGCAGCCAAATGGTTGTATGAGACCTCCTCTTTGAATCTTCTGGAGATAAGCTGAGACCGTTGAGGTAGGGATATCGGTAGGATTTGATAAACTGACTGAAGTTGTATAATCGAATTTTTCCTCAGACTCCTCAAAGTCGACATGGAGCTTAGCATCAATTGGTGTCTGAGAAACAACAAGAGCATCATGTCTCGAACGAGCAGAACTTGTCCTGTTTGTGCCTGATCTTGATGAAGACATTTCCCTCTTGATTTCTCAAACTTCTGTTTGTTTCAATCCAATAGATTCCTCGGCCCATATGATGCAAACCAATACCAAGACATTATAAGATCTTAATCAAATGAGTTCCACCAAATTCACTTTAACTCCAAGAAAAAAGGAGGAAAAGGCAACCATCCAGTCATCCTATTCAACAGCACACTATACTTGAGCTTTTTTTTATCAATTAGAGCATCTGACGTTCTGGACAAGAAGATAATGGTTGGGAAGCAGAAAAAAATGAGATGCCCTCGTGAATATTTAGATAGTCCAAAGAAAAGTATAACCCTTTCTGAACCAATAACCAATAATGCTGGCAAATTCTTCAACTTTTACTCAATAGCACCCAAAGCAGGTCGGTGAAAATGGATCCCCCAATACAATAATTGATATAACAGCGAAGAAATTTATAAATACTACTGCACTAGAACTATTGGTGGATTGTATGAACTGAGTAATACCAGCTAACGAAAGAGAGAAGTAATTGGAGATATAATATCTCAATCAACTGTGTTGACCTCAGAGCTCGATCTTCATGCGAATGAAGTTACCAGAATTCTTGAAGCCTTTCCATGGAGTTTGGCGCCTACCAGGCGTACCATCAACGCTGCACTGGGATCGACTGCGTTTCTTCTACTCCGTATTACGGAGTATTTAGTTTTGTTTATGTTGGTAAATGGATTTTGTTTGGTAAGAAAAAGGATTTTGTTTCGTTATGTTGGATTTTGTTATGTGAAAAAGGATTTTGTTTATGTTGGTTATGTTAGATAAAACTACTATTTTACCCGTGTGATGTATGACAAAATAACTTTGTAAATTGAGGATAAATTTATCAACATAAACCTTTTTTTTATATATAAACACGCATTGTTGTCAAGTACTCAAGTACATTGTATGAGTGAAAAAAGATTCTTAGGGTCTCTAAAAAAAGATTCTTACGCTTTCTATGGCCTTAAATTTCTTAATCATAGTGTTCCATCTTAATATTACAAATTTTTTTATATACTTAGTCCATATGAATATACAAGTATTCTTCTATCAAAAATTCTAGATAGTACTCCGTATTTGAGAATGAGAATTTCATTCGTGTTGTAGATAGAAGCTCTTTTACCACATTTCTTGATGTCTAATAAGGAAGCTAAGTGACAACCTTAGATGAAGATACAATAATATTGCACCTAAAACAGAAAACGTGTAATTAACCACACATGTTGTCATTCAAAATAATTTGCAACATTATATATGATGTTTTAAATAAGGAAAAATGTGCAAATATACCCCTGAAGTATATGTGGACCTATAAATATATCCGTGAACATATAAAAGGTGCAAAAGTACCCCAAATATTTCTATAAATGAGTAAATTTACCCTTGTTAACTTTAAATAAATAACATAAATTTTCAAATAAACAAAAATATAAATGATTGGGAGTTAGAGTACATTTAGTACAGAATAAATTAGTACTTTAATTTTCTTGATCGCACAGTTCCATTTTATGCACTTAATTAGCTAGGATGTGGATTTTTAATTATATTATAATTTGGAGTTTACAACTTTGAAAAGATTTTAATGTAGTTTCTGAATATGTAAATTTTATTTATTAAAAATTTAATCACCAATATGGAAGATTTAACTTTAACATTAATTGGCCAAAAAATGTTAGACTTTACAAATCAAATTGGGATGGTGAGAGTAACTTTTTATGATCTCTCATGGGAAACCAAAGTTGGCCAAACAATTGAAGTTCTATCTTCCTCACCAATATTGGTTTAAGATTTCTCAAAAAATTATGTAGAGCCCATTTGGTGACTTTGTTTTTCGGCTTATCAGACCTATCAGCCAACTTTTTAACCAAACACGTAATTTTTGATATCGCGCGTTGAATTGTATAATAATAAGAAAAAATAAGGTTGAAGTTACTTTTCTTACTGTATTGGCTGAAGTTACTGTAGATAACCATTTTAACTATTGTTAGTATAGTTTTTTCTTTATTTTACTAATAATTATATTTTAAATATACTTTTTTGATAAATCAGCAGAATCAGCCAATACATTCACTTCAGCCATAATTTCATAAATTTCAGCATAATCAGTCGATTTAGCTGATTTTAGTATTACCAAACGGGCTCGCAGTCAGTATGATGTAAATTTTGAATACAATTATAGTAATTAAAAGGAATTAATCGTAAAATAATATCAGTTTTTGGTGTTAGAATGATCACACTAGAGGCTTTTTCGTTCCAATATAGCATACATAATATTGAATGAGAAAATATCACACATAAGTTAAAATAAAACTATACTTTGAAATGGAAATTTCAACCTTGAAGATAACTTTTAAATAATTAAAACTATTTCAAAAAGATGAAACGTACACTATTAATAAGTTACTAGTGTAACACCCGGGGCATGCCCCGGTAGTGGCATGTTAATGTAAATTAAAATATTAAATATTAATAGATATTTTGAATTAATACCAAACTTGTAAATAACATTTTGTTGTTCAAAAGAGAATAAATTCACTAAAATTTTATTATTATTTTGGTCTTAGACTTATTATTATTATACTCTATTTATGAGAACATTAATTGAAGAACCTTCATACTATGCCAAGTATTTCAGGTACCATAGCAAGACAACAACTAACTATTGCTTAAAATATCGCCATAAGTATAATAATTTAAAACCATCATTTTCAAATAATTATAAGATAAAAATGTTTAATTCATAGTATATAAATTTATTGAGTTCATATTCCTTTTAACATTTTACGCACATTTCAAATTTTACGTTCTACAATTACATAATAAGTTTCTTGCTTAATCTTAGAATGATTTTAATTGGATTGAAATTTTGTTGCCTAGTTTAGTTTTATTTGAATTACTTTGATCTGCTTTGTTGAAGTTTGGTATGTTCTTGCTTGAATTAGTCTGGTTTGGTAGATGTCTGGTGTATGTGTATATTATAATTGTCGAATTCTGGTGTGATCTGGTCTGTTTTAGTGTGGTCTAGTCTATTCAAGTCTTATTTGGTTTGTTCTAACCGGTTTGGCCTGTGTCTGAAAACAATTCAATTAAAACATTCATACTTATTAATGTATGTGTATCGTATCATTTTTCAGCGTCCTAAGGTTTTGGTAAGTTAACTATTCAAATTGTCATGTGAATTGAGTTTTTTGTTTTTTATTATCTTTTTTTATTTTAATAAAAATCTGTACTAATAAATGAGACTTCTAAATCAAATAATCATTTTTGCGACATTAATATATGGTGAGTCTCACAACTAATTGGAAAAGGATATCTTAACTAAGATTGACGTCGTAATCCAATCAAATAGAAAAAAAGTAAACAATCCTTGAATGATTTGACTTTAGTTGTGTATAAATTCTTTCAATATTTATATAATTTCAACATTCATTCGATCTTGATCTATCAAAATCATCTTGTCGAGCTAATTAGTGAGTAGTGACAAAGGAGGAGGAGGAGGAGGAGGAGGAGGAGGAGGAAGAGGAGGAAGAAGAGGAGGAAGAAGAAGAAGAAGAAATTCGCTGATCACCTATTTAGTTCCCGATGCACTACAATTCTCGATTAAATTGTTTATATTTATATTTACTTTTAAAAGAATTGAGTAATAATGATTGTATAATTATAAAATCAAATTAAATTAAAATAATTAACTAAGAGAAAAGAACTATTGGAAGTGAAAAACTCGTACGTGCTAAAAGAATTGAACACTAAAAACTAAGAACCCGTTTGGTAATATCCAAATTGGTTGTATTAGGCTATTAGCCCATCCAATCAAAACAGACAGCTAGAAAAACAACATCAACCTTACTTTTTATTATTACACAATTCAGCACGCGAAATAAAAAATTACGTGTTTAATGAAAAAATTGGTCAATAAGTCTGATAAGCCGAACAACATGGTTATAAAACGGTCTCTAAAGTGGAATGCAATAAACATTTAATGCCTAAAATTAAAGATGAAAAGAGAATTAGATTTTCTATATGAACAATGGGTGATAATAATATTATGAAAATTATTAAGATTAAAAGATAATGATATCCCGGTGGATATGCACACACATGTTGTATTTTCTCCACCTTTTCCTACTTGTGCCTTTTTCATTAGCCATTTTAGCTATTTTTTTTGAATTAATAATTAAAAAGAAAAAAGGATGACACCCCATCTCTGAGGGCCCCCAACATCGACCGGACAGTGGAATTAATAATTAGTTTATAAGCATGGAATTATTATTAAACAAATATTTTAATGTGTGGATCGGACTCAAGTTTAACTATAAACAATCTCTACATTTTTATCTCCAAGTTTTTCTCCAAATTTTTCTCTTGCACACGTTTTTCTCTATGGCTTTTCCTTTAATTAATCGATCTAATTAATTGTTTTGATAATAATGACAATTTAAGTTTTGTTAACCAATAAGAGATTCACCTGTCAGCGGTTACTAATAAATTGATAGATATTTTTATATATATTATATTGGTGTCATATGAAAGATGTTAAAAAATTATAAATTTTGATATATTTTTTGTAGAATTTGGATTATAAATATAAAAGTTATATCACTTTAAAAAAGAGAGATTTTTTCTCCTACTCTTGCTCTAAATGAGCCGTAACTCAAGTTCTAATTGGGGTAGACATTGAATTAATTAATTGCTTTAATTTTAATGATAATAAAATTTGCATTATCCAATAAGAAGTTGACACATCATTGTTTTTTAAGGATGTTTTCTTTTGGACTGAAATTTGCTGGTCTGGTCTGGTCTGGTCTGTTTAAGTCTGGTCTGGTCTGGTCTGGTCTGTTTAAGTCTGGTCTGGTCTGGTCTGGTCTGAACTGGTCTGGTCTGGTCTGGTAAACGTCTGGTCTCTGTGTATTTTATAACTACGGAAGTCTGGTCTGGTCTGGTCTGGTCTGTTTAAGTCTGGTCTGGTCTGGTCTGGTCTGGTCTGGTCTGGTCTGGTCTGGTCTGTTTAAGTCTGGTCTGGTCTGGTCTGGTCTGGTCTGTTTAAGTCTGGTCTGGTCTGGTCTGGGACTGAAAACAGTCCAAAAGAAAACATCCTAACTCAAGTTTACTATATAAAACTATAGATTGGGAGTTATAGTACATTTAGTACAGAATAAATTATAAGCGGCAATATATTACATTAATTATAATTGTGGCTTAACTTTCTAAATACTACGTATATATGAACATTAATTAATAATCCAGATATGAAACGTATGTAACATATATAATATACCTATCTTTCCAAATATACGAAGGATAAACGTAGTAATTAATACTGAGTATAAGAATGTGTGTATATGAAAGTGACATGTGGCTATGACTCCTATGAGTAGCTAAGAGTATCTCCAATGCTCTAATGTACACGGTGCACATGTGGCATGAGTCATAGCCACATAAATATTAGAAAATAAATTATCTCTCTCCTTATTTAAATGATTTTATACAATTTTGGTAAGTTTTTCCCTGCAATGTCAACAACAATGTCAACATTTAGACGGTCTCCTTGACATTGTAGAGAAAAACTTACCAAAACTATATAAAATCATTTAAATAAGGAGAGAAAGAATGTATGTACTAATATATATTTATGTGGTCATATCTCATGCCACGTGTGCACCGTGCACGTTATAGCATTGGAGATGCTCTAATGGTACAATGTGCACGGTGCACACGTGGCATGAGAGATAACCACATAAAT